AAAAAAAAAAAAAAACGAAAAAACTAGTAATAATAAACGATCGGGGAAACGCCACAAGTAAGACAACGAACTCATAGGGCCCCGATAAACTATCGCTAGCAGTAGTACGAGGTCGAGAGTCCGAGCTTGCATGAGAAAGGTGCTCTGTGACGGGTATACACACTTCCGGTGCTCAGGACGTCCTTGGTCTCGCATCTCAGGCCCGTGAAACCCTCGGCACACCTGAAACAACGTCAAACAATCGACATCAGTCTTTTCGGCTCTGTCGTGGTTAATTATATTTTTTAAATTTTATTTTAACAATAATTACATTATATGTTTGTTAATTTTAAACAAGTTACATAAATATTTGCGGGTTTTATACATTTTACTATGGGATAAATTGTATCGATTCAGTTTGTGTTAATAAGACGATTGCCCATCATTATGTTAACCAGAAAAGCACCCCCATCCCTTTATGTGAAAAATATTTTAGATGTATAATGTGACTCCACTCCACAAACAAATTTTGAAACATTCATCATCATATCAGCTTTTTGCTTCTATTATACACCTAGTGGAGTCATATTAAAATAATTTAAATAGTTTATATTTAATGTATATAAAACCAACCCCTTCCCCCCCAAAAAATAAGCCATCGCTAAATTCGCTCTCCCACAAAGCTAAAATATACGGGTTGGTACGAAAGAAGTCTGTCACGATAGAGATGCCGAGGATAATCTCGCTCGTCTGTTTTGCTTACGAGAGAAGTGGAAAAAAAAACCCCACTTTTCGTTCAGCGAGTGAAATAAAACTCGCACGCTCCCGAGCGTCGAGCAAACAGAAAGAGCCCAATACAAATCTGGAAAATAACCATACCCAAAGTTTCTGTTTCCATGCGTTGAAGAGTAAAATTATGTGCTCTCACGTATAATGGCACCGGGGACTCGAGAAAGCGTAAGGAGCTCGTTTACGTATACGCACATTGCGCAAGTAAAAACTCGCGGCGGTAGGAAAATCGGGTGGGCGTACACCAGAGCCTCTATATGAGATGGAAGATACATTTCTCTCTCTTCCTATCTTGAGAAGAAGGTGGCGTGAAAAATATATGATCCGCAGTGTAAAAAAGTGGGAAGGGGACTGCTTACACCATCACGTGTAATTATTTCTTCGAAGAATAGGCGAGGAGTGATGACGACGAGGGTTAAATTAAATTAAATTAATAGCCATTGCCGAGTTTTTTCTCTTACGCACACCTAGTTTTGGTATGGAAGAGTATTTTGGATCATCGCGGAGAGAATTGATGAGTTTGGAGCGCCGGGACTAAAATATACATACATTTTCGGTAAATCGCGGGGGACGATCAATCGTGTTGTTTTTTTTTTTCTCTTCAAGTGACGTATTATTTTTCTTTGATGCGTTTGTTTCGAGACAAATGGAAAAAAAAAAAAAAAAAAAATACATTGACGGGTAAGTGGAAGAGTGGACCGTGAATCACGATCACGCATACCGCTCTTGAGATTCGGGATAAAAATACGCACAGTACAACGAAGGAAACGGAGGGAAAACCGGGACCGCTCGATTGCCCTGTGATTGATTATATTTTAAAAGCAAAGCGGATCAATTATTCTTTGTTGGGAGGGTACATTCTAATTAATTAGCGAGTGAAAAAAAAAGTACAAGTATAAATATGTTTCCCCTTTACCACCGGAATATCGCGTACCATACGTTCGAGCTACGAATTAACGACTACGACGTCTTTCACGACATCGAGCTCGACAAGTCAGACGTACATCGCGACGGAGAAAAAAAAGAAACGACACAAGTCAGCCCGAAAAAAAGTCGCGACAGCTGAGAACGAGAGCTGTACAGAGAAAAATAATAATAATAATAAAAAAGCCTGCTGGGTTGTAAGTCCAGCCGTCCCTCCGGCATAACGAATCTTATTTTTGTATCAGGAGAATTGGGTTGGGACAGAAGGTGGGAGGATCGCCTGCAGCGCTACTCGTCTTTCCCCGAATTTCTCTCTTTTTCTTCTTCGAGGCGATCGTTTTACCTTTTTTTTTTACGTTGTGCGTATATACGTGCGACTTTATTCAGCATACACGGATCGTGCCAATTAAACGTTATTGAAAGAGTTTTTCGGAAAAATAACAACCATCCCTCGTCTGCTTAAAAATCACACCGCATCTCCGTCTCCGACTTTCTCTCGACACTTGTGTATTTTTACCCACTGCAGTGCTGATGCGACACGTTATTTTACGGCCGCGTGGCGGGTGACAGCGCTAGGCTGGTGCACAGTAGTACAAGTGCGATTAAGGGCAGACAGCAGTAGTAAAAGAGACGCCAACCGGTCGGACCAGGTGTTGCGGATCTAGTCGTTACTTCTTCTCTATAAATTTTTCACTGCCTCATTTTATCGTGCTTTCGACGAATACTCGATTTTGTGGAACAATTATGTATACATGAATATGATTGATTATAGATTTGCCCGTACGTAAAACGAAAAGATTGATCCGATAGATTTTATTGAAATGTCATCACGTCCGAATTCGAGCTTTTTGGGATTAAAACCACCCCCAAGAACAACAAAGTAATGTCCGTTTTAGTGATAATAATACATACACACTGGGGACACTTTTTGTCGTTTAGGATTAAACGAAAAGTCCACACGCGGTTGCTTTCCCGTCAATGGCGCACCGACTTGGGTTGATTTTACGCATTTTACCGTACGACTGGCCGAGCTTGAAAGCTCTACGTTTTCAATAACTAACAAAAAAAAAAAAAAAAAAAAAAACTCGAGAGCACACGTGAAAACGAAACGCTTTTTTAAAACACTCCGAAGCGATGTATCCGCGAATATCGGGCTTATATCCATTGAGCTCGGTAAAAGTGACGCGCAAAGTTAACGCGCGACCGCGCGGGAAACAAGAGAGAAAAAAAAAAAAAAAAAAAAATAGCACGGACGAAAAAACACTCGCCAGAAAACTCGCGCTAAAGAATAAAAGTGGAAATGGGAGATGCACGTATATACACGAAGCAGGAGGGCGCAAAGGAAAAATTGCAGCGTACCGATGACCCGGTGTAAGTACTGTTACCTCCCTTCTGTACACCTCTTTCATGATTTTGCTTCAATTTACGTTTACTATTATTACTTACTTACGCGCTTTGAAAGTATGGAGATTTTGTTTTATTACGCTGGTGAACTTGATTACTAGTATGACTGCACACGGGGTCCCGATAGTCGGGATATGTATTACATGATACTTTGAGGGTACAAGTGCTGAGTTATGTCATACACTTGAAGTACTATTATTATTATTATTTTTTTTTTTATAAAATTTATTACAGTCGGGTTGATAAACCCACTATAGAAACGATGGTCCCACCAGCTCTACCAAACTGCACAATTTTTGTGGAGGAAGCAGGGAACCTCTGATAAATACCATTATGTTTTACAAGCTCGTGCACATTAATTTTTTTCATTACAAATTCTTCGATCTGATTGAACCAACTACATCACAAACCAATTGGTTTACTTTGTCATGAATCTCATTAAAAAACACTCATGGCTGAAACACCGTGAACCTCTATTTCATATATGATAGTCCCTGTACTGTATAGCTACTAGCCGTGACTTGAAAAGGTACACCCAACGTGATAGAGAAAGCAAGAAAACCAGAAGAACGGCAGTTGGCCCAACTTGTTGGCCATAAAATCAATTGAAAGGCACCGGAAAGCACGAAGAAAGCTCAGCCGCGAATTACTCCGGCAGCTTCTTCTCCATCACTCCCACTTTATACACTCCCCTCGCGTTTTCCAAACCACCGACTGGAACTTCTTCTTCCTTCTCTTCCACCTACTTGGCTTCCGGGAAATTTCATTTCTCCGTGTTCTTCATATCGCGGCGCGGCCATACGTAAACCCAGCCCCGAAGGCTCGCAAAGTTCCCGCACCAATACGTACTACCCGCTGTGCAAGTTGTTCAGTCAACATCGTCCCAGCGACGAGGTCGCGAGCGGATCAATTCGCCCCGGCGATGATACCTGCGCCGCGTGCGTTTGTTTTAGTCCCGCCTAACTCGATTGTACGCGTCGGGAACGGTCTCGAGTTACCCATACTTGAGTCACGCTCCGCGGTTCCTCGTATAAATACGGATGATTGGAGCGCGCAAAGATATTGTTCCCTGGAAAAAAATCACGCTGTCGCTTCGTAATTCCAAATGAGCTCGGTTTTCGGTCTAAACCAATGTTTTCGCACCATCGAGCTTGATGGGGGGTTTTCTTCGAGCGTGTTTTGTCTCAAAACATGAGGTGGTTTTGTTCGTTCGCTATGCACGGCGTTGAGAGATTACTTGGGTACTTACGAGCAATATTATTTTTCGTCATACCCATTGTTATTATTATCGTCATTCGTGACGAGCGTATTTGCCTACTGGAGTTATGAGTGGTGCTGTTGAATCTTTGTAATTTTACTTTGACGTGAGCCATATTATGTTTTTTAGATTTTTCACTGAAATAAAAAGTCGTCGTTTTTCAGCGCATGATTTATTTGTAATTGCAAGTTTTTTTTTTTTTTTTTTTTTTTTTTTTTTTTTTTTTTTTTTTTTTTTTTTGTATAATTAGTGATGTTATAAATTGCATCTAACAATTAGAGGAACATTTCTGACCACTCTAGTATTGGTAAGATAATTTTTCTCTACAAAAAAGCTCACGTAGCTGACTGCATGGTCCAGGTGGTTACATGGAGGGGTTTGTTGCCCCAAGATGTTAGGAGTAGAGAGACGATAAATTTTCGTCAGATGAGCAAAAGGACGGCTATGTTCGATGGAATTACGTAGAAAGGTGTACTGTTACAAAGCTCTTTAGTGGATAAAGGTAGAGTTTAACTAAAATTTTTTTTTTTCAGCTAAAAATCTTAAATGAGAGTTTGTGCAATTGATCCTGTCGCAAAGTCGAAAAAACGAATTCTCCAATTTTGTTTTCCTAATTTCGTTCAACGTCTTTTGATTTTAACGAACGCGTATGGAGAGAAAAAAAACATCTTGGAATGAAAGATGAAAATTTTATTGTAAATAACAACACGAGCGACAGCAGAATAACTTGCCAATTGAAATTGATTATTCTGGACACTGTCACGGTTCGTTAAACCCCTCGAATTCTATCATCTTAGTCTCTTCTCCCCAAAAGTTCCGAGGCTCTCCACGCTTTTTTTCCCCACTTCCCTGCGTTTGTTCGACAAAC